AGGTGTTAGCTTATAATAATGTAGTCACACCAGGGAGCTGCAATTTCAGTTTACACAAGCTGTATGTGCATAAAACTGCTGCGCTGGATTAATAAACCAGCAATGGTCATTTTAGGGTTTACAGTTGTTGACTTATTGACCCAGTGGTTGTTTTAAAGTCATGTCTGTTTATTTGATCTGAATGAGAATCTGGTTTAATGCCAAGTACATTTATACACATACAAGGACTTTATCTTGGTGTTTTTGGTGCGAAGTTAAAAAAGTTACTTAAAGTATCATATAAAAGATTAAATCTAGTTAAAATTAAATTATAAAATCTAATTCAAGCTTTAAACAATAGGAGTCAAGGATGAACATGTGCAGGAAGGTGCAGGATGATGTTTGGTGTAAATCTTATAGACAGTATAGAATGTTATACAATTAATCATAATGATAGTGAAATGTATTCTTATCTGCAGAGCACTTAAAGGTCACATGGAAAATACACTTTACCCTGTTTTTATAACACTAATATGTGTCCCTAGTCTGTACAAAACCCCTTATTATGAAAAAAGCATCCTCTTCATCTTTTGCCTGCTTCACTTTTCAGAAAATGTGTTCTCAAACAGGCTGTTTAGAGATTTTCCCTTTGTGACATCACAAAGGGTGGTAACCCCTCCCCCAGGTGGTTGACACTCACAGCTAGGTGTTTGTTCTGCCCTCTGAGTCTGCCTTCTCACCATAAACAATGGAGCATGGTGCAAGAAAGCCACCCAAGCCCTTCCAGAGAGGGGCGTGGTCAAACACAGCTCATTTGTATTTAAAGCTACAGACACAGAAACAGCCTGTTCTGAGCAGGGCTGAAATAGAGGTTTTTTATAGGCATGGAAATTCAGGATCAGAGTGGATTTATTACAAGAAACTTCAAAGACATGTTTTGGGAGCTCTGACAAACTTGTTGAAAATGAGGATAATATCTGACCTTTAAGTAACAACGCAACAAAGCAAAGGGCTTTGGTGGCAACAAATACAACACAAATGATGAAAGGAAATGGAAGTAATTAGCAAACAAGTGATATCAATTTATATTTAAATGTAATATTATTGTGCCTGTTTGATAAATATAAAGCCACTGCTAGCAGTTGGTTAGTTTATCTTAGCATCAATAGCAATAACAATTTTATTTATATAGCACACAGATAAGCTCAATGTGCTTTACATTGAGGTTAAAAACTAAATCAAAACACAGCATACAAAAGAAAGATACACATACAAAAAATAACTATTCATATGCTTTGGAGAACAGGTAGGTTTTGAGTTTTGTTTTAAAAGTAGAAACAGTAATGATGGACCTTAGGTCAGCAGGGAGTTTGTTCCATAGAAAACGACCACAGTAACTAAAGTCCCCCTCTCAGACTTTGATCTGATTCTGGGTACGGTTAAAAGAATGGAGACGGGAGAAGACAGCTAGCCTGCATCTGTTCTGTCCAGAGGAAACAAAGAGAAATCCTGCAGCTCTTTCAACTTCACCTTGAGAATTATACTTAAGTAGTCAGCTCAAGAGGCAGAGCCAGGCTAGCCGAAGATGAAAGCCTCAATCTTTTGTATTTCTGATTTTAGCTGTAATGATGATTTCTTAAATATGAGCTACACTGAACCACAATACATTTCGTTCAAAAGCCTTCTATGTGACTTTTTACTGCTTGGCACACTGGCAAGAATTCAGCTATTATTAATACATCACTGCTAAAACAAATCTCCTGGTTATACAATCTCTTCCCGCTCTCTCTCCTCCTTCTTTTTGCTAAGTGGGATTATTCATTTGACTTTAACACAAGGATTTAGAAATAATGAAAGCACAACCGTTTTATGGAAATCTTTGCATGATTGCAATGTCTTCTCTATTGATCTGCAGATGCAGAAATGTAAAGATTGAAGGATCTACATTTATAAGCTCAATGTATATAAACACATATAATGATGTTTTAATGCAGGGTTGGTGTCTTTAATTGTATTGCAATGCTCAAGGAAAGGCTTTGTTTTTATTTCTATACACACATGCTAGATGATCCTGCATCCTAGAGGGAGTTTCCCTGAGACACAATTGTGTGTAAATTTTTTTTTTAAAAAGATAATAATAGAGAAGACTCAGTAAGATGTGCAGGAAGGAATTATGAATCAGGTGGGTGGTCATTGTGTTTTTGGTCAAGAAGAAAATAAATGTTTCTGGGAGCTGAAACTTCTTCGGAAAAGCCTCTGCACATGATTCCTGTCAAAGGTCCACGGGGAGAGGAAATAGTGAGCGGTGGCTGAGGAGGAGGAGGAGGAGGAGGAGGAGGAGAGAGAGAGAGAAAAGAGAGAGAGAGGACAGTCGTGCATTTACAAGCAGACACCCACACGTTATTTCTCAACAGACTCCCACACACACTTTCTCACATTTGACGCGTACACATCAGAGCACCTGGTTTGTAGCCACTCAGTGTTTGGTTCCTTTCCTGTCAACATGCTGTCCTGTGTCTGGCTGTTGGCTTTGTGGCTAACAGGTAAGAAGTTTATCTTTATCATGCATTCTTTATGTGTCCACTCAGTGTGAAGTCAAAGTGGTCAGTGTGTGAAGGCTTTCCTCCATCTGCTTTGATCGTCCTTCTATTTGTTCACAATCAGGGCAGCAGCTGTGCGGTGATTTCAAATGTAGAAACAGATGATGTGTAACAGTTTGTTTCAGTAGATCCAATCAGTTTGATTGTTTAACACTTAAAAAATCCCTCATAGCTAGAAGAGGAAGCATGATAAATTATCATCTGCTCTGAATTATCTGATACATTTCAACTTTAAAGGAGAGCGCGGCTCTGTTTCATGCTCTGCCTTTTTATTTGTATCAGATCTTTTTTTGAGCGTTGTCACAGTCTCTACTGAGTGTGTTACGTCTCTTAGAGGAGACATGTTTCTGTAATTTATTTATTTTATTTTCTTGCACAGCTGCTTTGTGTGTCTTTGCACTTGTTTTTTTGGCCTCACTTTGATTGAGCAGACGTTTTTTTTGTCCTCATCAATCCAAAGCTTGGAGATGAATTGATTCAGCTCTGACAGTCACTTTGTCTGAATGATATAAATCCCCGAACAGAAGAGCTTCATTTTTTTCGGGATCTAAATATGTGCTTACATAGCTCAGCTCTAGTGTCACTTTCCAAGGTCTCTATGTCACTGTGCTCTTCTCATTTCAGGACACACTCTCGCTGTTGTGTTATCCGAGCAAACAGAGAGGAACTGCTCGCTGTCCCCACCGGTGAGAGAAATCAACATTGTGACTTTAATCAATACGGGGTTATCATTGAGATTTGGAGAAAAAAAATACAAATAAGTCTTAAAAGTGTCCTTGAAGACATAAGACAGTATTTTCTATGTTATAACATGTTGCATGAGTTATATAGTAAATGATTAAAGCAACCTCTCTGCGGTGAATGATTACAAGGGGAGATAAAGAAAGGGATGAATCAGCAGTTTAATTAAATCTCAAGACTTTTAACACTCTGTATCTCTCTCTCTCTCTCTCTCTCTCTCTCTCTCTCTCCTTTTTATTGTGTATGTGTGTGTGTCTGTAAAACAGTACCTCCCCAGCACAGCAGTAAATACCACCCTCCAGCTGCAGGAGTTACGAGAGCTAATGCGTCCCCTGAATATCTCTGCCTACATTATCCCTGGCACTGATGCCCACCTGGTACATCTGCTGTCCATCATACTTATTTCATCTGAGTTTAACTGGTTTGTGTGTGTGAGTGTGACACGTGAGAGAGAGAGAAAGGGATATTAACCTCTGCTTTTTTCCCAACAGAGTGAGTATATCGCACCACGTGATGCCAGGATGGCCTTCATGACCGGCTTTACAGGCTCCGCAGGTACAATCCTTTCCCACCTCCTCGTCTCCTTCATCCCCCTTCTCCTTTTCCTCCTCCTACTCCTCCTCCTCTTCCCCATGACTCAACTCCCCACGTCTGAGAAGCTGCGATCATGCAGCTTCTCTTCTTTCATCCCACATCCTCACAAAACAGCCGTCCCCTCCTTGCTCACTTAGTTTTATTGCTTCCACTGGCTGCATCATTGCATCTGATCATCCATCAGCCTTATCCTTTTCCACATAGCTGGAAGATTAAATCATGGTGTCTATTTTCAGGCTGGAAATGATGATCAGAATTAATGATCGTGCATATTTCTGTACTAAGCTCTTGACTGAATCCAAGGAGAAAAAGACTTAAAGTAATGTTTACACCAAGCTTGACTCCATTGAGAAAAGTCTAATTTCTTGTATGTCTTGTAAAATGTATATTCAGGGATCTGCTCATGTTTTGCTACTAAAGAGTCTCATGTGAGGATGAAACCGGGGTATGACCATGTATTACCACCGCTTCTCCTGAGTGTTTTTTAACAATCCTGTTTCTCCCCATACACATATATTTCTGTGAAATTGCCTGTACCATCATGTATTGCTCTAAATCAACATTGACATTTATAGGCATGATTTGCTGTCAATGCGGCTCTCTCCATATCACAGCTGCTCTCCTATTCCTCCCCAGGAACTGCCATAGTTACCCCGACCAAGGCAGCTCTGTGGACAGACAGCCGCTACTGGGTCCAAGCCGAGAGACAGCTGGACTGCAACTGGGAGCTGGAAAAAGACGGTAGGGGGGGGATAACATTTGGTCTACTTGTTTTGACAACGCAGGACAAATGGATGCCAATCAAATATTTGTGGATTTGACGGTCTCGTGTTAAAATATCCTGACAGGCTGCACCCACAATTACAGGATTCTCATGATAAAAATAGCACTCAAACAACAAAACCAAAAACACTCCATGTTTTGTCTTTGAAAAACACTTTGAACATGCAATGCTGACAGGATGTTGTGAAAATTGGCCACCAGCCACTCCAAAATAAAAGATGTCTCAATTTACCAGCGTTTAGATGATGCTAATTTTCCAACTGGATGCTGATGCTCACACACTTAAAAGACATTAAATATAAATTGAAAAACACAGCATCTGTCAAGGATGCACAAAGACGAAGGAAACTCACTCCACTGTAACTCGATGTAAAATTCAGTACTGCAAAACGAAACGTGCTGAAAATACAGAAAAGGGAGAAAAAGAAACATGTCATTTCTAGCTCCATAAGCTGATGAATAATGATTAGATGGTGATATGGATGGTAGTTCACATTTGGTCCATTTCGGCTTTCTGAACGAGGAAAATGCATCGGCTCTTGAATTTTTATCTATCTAGTTCTGTCGCAGTGTTAAAATGACCCAGTTTGTACACCTAACAAAAATATTAAAGAAATGCCTCTGTTTCTTTTCCAAATTCATGAGTTAATTAAGATTTTTGTCTTTGCACACCAAAGGCTTGTTTTCTTAAAATGTTCTCAAAAAAGTAATTTAAAAAAAGTGTTAAGTAAGTAATCACTAAGTAATTCATCCACACGAGACGTGTGACATGTCAAGATGCTTTTAAACAGCATCATGTTGCAAATCGCTGGGGGGGGATATCGACAAGTGTGCCGCTGAATAGAATTAAAATCTCACCACGATTAGTGGTTTCCTGAGTTTTTCCTGAGGATTTCTCTGGGTGTTTGCGTTTCCTCACATTTAAGATAGGCACCCCTCTGATACAAACAGTCAAATATTCTGTGCTCATTTTACTGCTCACGTTGACATGACATATTTGTCAAAAAATAATGACATATTTGGCTGTTTTGGGAAATAAGTACAGTTCAAAATGTAAAAAACAATGGTTTATATTTCAGCTTTAGTTCATCAGTGGGATCAAATGTAAGTGAGGTTGAGTGGCACAGACACAGGAGCATGTTACAATATAAAGAGTAGTTCTTGTGTCTTCATGTGATCTGTTCACAACAATAAAAACAGCACCTAGTGTTTTTTTTTTATTTCAGGGCATTATATTTACTAATAACACAGCTTTGACACAACTTTACATTTTACTTGCACAACATATCTCTGGCAAAGTTGCACACTTCTTCACCTTCATTGCTGAGTTACTCATCATTGTTTTGTTGTCGCGTTCCGAGCTACCTGGTTGATCCTGCCAGTAGCATATGCTTGTCTCAAAGATTAAGTCATGCAAGTCTAAGTACACACGGCCGGTACAGTGAAACTGCGAATGGCTCAGGGGTCTGCCACAGGGGTCACTCCTTTCTGAACATTTAAAAGAAGACTATAATCTGATCTTTCACTGTCAGTAAATGAAATGGTTTGTATTTTAGTAATTTTGAGTCTCTATGTATTGTTTGATGTTCTCGTAATGATATTAATTACATTTGTTGGATTACTTTTTTCGTTGTTTTCTCGTGCAAATGATGGATTAGTTTAATCTCGTAATCCACAAATCCTCATAAAGCAAATTGTGCTGATTTGGACGGATAAACGTTTTGTTCTCAAAAAATAGCATTTCTAAATTTTCAAATTGTCTAAAAAATATAACCCACTGTTAGATATATTGGATTTATTGTGTCACATCTTCCTATGTAAATAATATTTTGAATCTGTCATGTGTGATGTTCTCCAGTGTCCATCATCAGTATAGCAGAGTGGCTCATCTCCGAGGTTCCACCAGGCGGCGAGATCGGCTTTGACCCCTTCCTCTTCTCCCTTCGTAAGTCTCTTTTATCCGTCCCGCCTGTCAGTCCACGTTAACATCAATAAAGCACACGCTCAAGTAGATGGAAAATAACTGATGGAGCCTGCAGTCGCCACACAGACTGTTTACTTGAGATTGATTTGCTCCTATGTGTGCAATCATCCTTTGTTTCCTCCATTAGAAACACAGGAGAACTACAACATGAATCTGGAGCCAAGCAATCGCAGTCTCAAGTCCATCCCTGTGAACCAAGTCGACAAAGTGTGGACTGCCCGACCGCCCCTCCCTCTTGATAACATCACCCGCCTGCCCGACAGAGTCATACGTAGGTTTGCTTACATGTGTTTGCGTCTCTAAACACACACCCTGCAGCCTGCTAGTCTGCCTGTTTGGTGCCCTTTAGCTCTTTATCAATGTGCTGATAAATACCTGCAAACTCCCAGTGATAAGCAGCTCCACAAACACAGCCATAAACAGCCTGTTCATGTTTGTATGACTTTATGGACGATCAGACATAGATCATGTTTAAGAGATAGAAAAGTCTCCTGAAAAGGAAGTTGTCTGGACACTCGTGTGTTTTATTGGTCTTTATGGTTGGAGAATAGACTAATGGAACTAATGGAGCATGTCATGAATCTAATGGTGTTTGTTTATGTTTGTGTGTGTTTACATTTGACTGTCGTCTGGATAAAGGGCTTCTGGTACAATGTTTAGAGCTGCTGAAAAACCCGACCAACAGTAGCCAGCTATAAATAGGTTTAAATCTAAATTTACAATATTGTGTTAACATTCCTGATATTGGGTGTTGAGAGAACAATTCAAAAGAACAGTCATGGGGCAGCTATTCCACTGTTTCCACCCTACGTCATTATCATGGTGAAAACGAGTTCCACAAACAATCCAATTATACGTTGAGTGTTTGTTGTCATGTGGATTCAAATAAAGATAATATGTGGGTGTTTGCAGAACGGTCCTGGCAAATAAAAGTGGAGGACATACGGGATCAGATGAGAGACAATCCATACGAACCGACAGCTGTTCTGCTCTCAGCACTGGACGAAACAGCCTGTAAGTTACTCACACTTTGTCGACTCAGCAGTTTCAGGTCATAATGTTGCTGATTTATAAATAATTATAGGGAATAACTTGTGAATTCACCGATATAAGCTGTTTATATCAGCACCATAAATGTGCAATTCAGCTTATCCAAATCTCAATGACTTCTGTACAATTTGTGGTTAAATCTGTCTGTCTGTCTGTCTGTCTGTCTGTCTGTCTGTCTGTCTGTGTCTGTGTGTCTGTCTCTGTGTCTGTGTCTGTGTCTGTGTCTGTGTCTGTGTCTGTGTCTGTGTCTGTGTCTGTGTCTGTGTCTGTCTGTCTGTCTGTCTGTCTGTCTTTCTGTGTCTGTGTCTGTCTGTCTGTCTGTCTGTCTGTCTGTCTGTCTGTCTGTCTGTCTGTCTGTCTGTCTGTCTGTCTGTCTGTCTGTCTGTCTGTCTGTGTCTGTGTGTCTGTCTGTGTCTGTGTCTGTGTCTGTGTGTCTGTCTGTCTGTCTGTCTGTGTCTGTGTGTCTGTGTGTCTGTCTGTCTGTGTCTGTGTCTGTGTGTCTGTCTGTCTGTCTGTCTGTCTGTGTCTGTGTCTGTGTCTGTGTGTCTGTCTGTCTGTCTGTCTGTCTGTCTGTGTCTGTGTCTGTGTCTGTGTGTCTGTCTGTGTCTGTGTCTGTGTCTGTCTGTCTGTCTGTCTGTCTGTCTGTCTGTCTGTCTGTCTGTCTGTCTGTCTGTCTGTCTGTGTCTGTGTGTCTGTGTGTCTGTCTGTGTCTGTCTGTCTGTGTCTGTGTGTCTGTGTGTCTGTCTGTCTGTGTCTGTGTCTGTGTCTGTGTCTGTGTCTGTGTCTGTCTGTCTGTCTGTCTGTGTCTGTGTGTCTGTGTGTCTGTGTGTCTGTGTGTCTGTCTGTCTGTCTGTCTGTCTTTCTGTCTGTCTGTGTGTCTGTCTGTGTGTCTGTCTGTGTGTCTGTCTGTCTGTCTGTGTGTCTGTCTGTGTGTCTGTGTGTCTGTGTGTCTGTGTGTCTGTGTGTCTGTGTGTCTGTCTGTCTGTGTGTCTGTCTGTGTCTGTGTGTCTGTGTGTCTGTGTGTCTGTGTGTCTGTCTGTCTGTCTGTCTGTCTGTCTGTCCGCCTGTCTGTCTGTCTGTCTGTCTGTCTGTCCGCCCGCCCGCCTGTCTGTCTGTCTGTCTGTGTATGTGTGTCTGTGTGTCTGTCTGTCTGTGTGTCTGTCTGTCTGTCTGTGTCTGTGTCTGTGTCTGTGTCTGTGTCTGTGTCTGTGTCTGTGTCTGTGTCTGTGTCTGTGTCTGTGTCTGTGTCTGTGTCTGTGTCTGTCTGTCTGTCTGTGTCTGTGTCTGTGTGTCTGTGTGTCTGTGTGTCTGTCTGTCTGTCTGTCTGTCTGTCTGTGTCTGTGTCTGTGTCTGTGTCTGTGTCTGTGTCTGTGTCTGTGTCTGTGTCTGTGTCTGTCTGTCTGTCTGTCTGTCTTTCTGTGTCTGTGTCTGTGTCTGTGTGTCTGTGTGTCTGTGTGTCTGTCTGTCTGTCTGTCTTTCTGTCTGTCTGTGTGTCTGTCTGTGTGTCTGTCTGTGTGTCTGTCTGTCTGTCTGTGTGTCTGTCTGTGTGTCTGTGTGTCTGTCTGTCTGTCTGTGTGTCTGTGTGTCTGTGTGTCTGTCTGTCTGTCTGTGTGTCTGTCTGTGTCTGTGTGTCTGTGTGTCTGTCTGTCTGTCTGTCTGTCTGTCCGCCTGTCTGTCTGTCTGTCTGTCTGTCTGTCTGTCTGTCCGCCCGCCCGCCTGTCTGTCTGTCCGCCTGTCTGTCTGTCCGCCTGTCTGTCCGCCCGCCTGTCTGTCTGTCTGTCCGCCTGTCTGTCTGTCTGTCTGTCCGCCCGTCTGTCTGTCTGTCCGCCCGTCTGTCTGTCTGTCTGTCTGTCTGTGTGTCTGTCTGTCTGTCTGTGTGTCTGTCTGTTTGTCTGTCTGCCTGTCTGTCTGTGTGTCTGTGTGTCTGTGTGTCTGTCTGTGTGTCTGTCTGTCTGTCTGTGTGTCTGTCTGTTTGTCTGTCTGCCTGTCTGTCTGTGTGTCTGTGTGTCTGTGTGTCTGTCTGTCTGTCTGTCTGTCTGTCTGTCTGTCTGTCTGATCTTTTCACTAAACTGAATCATCCTTTATTACAGAGATAATCATGTTTTTTGAACTTTGGATGTTTGGTGTAGCTCTCTGCCAGTTCTCATCAATAATTCAAAGCATCTTTCTTGTTAATAAATGACTCCTGAGCTGCAGACCCCGTCTGACTTCAGATATCTAAATGATTGAGCCTGTATTTAATGACAGGGACACAGAACGAGTCACATCGAGTACTTCAGACACACGCTCAAGATGTAAACATCATTTCCTGGCATTGAGTCATGTAGCATATTATGTGAGTGAATGTAAAAGGTGCTGCGTAAAGTCAGGGGTTGTGTATATCTTTTCAGGGCTGTTTAATCTGCGGGGCAACGACATCCCATACAATCCCTTCTTCTACTCCTACACACTCCTCACAATGGATCACATCTGGTGAGTCCATTTTCAGTAATTACATGTTCAATTAGTATTCTTTCAATGTTTCTTTTCTTTGTCCCTTTCATAGCAGCTCCCATCACACATACTGAGATATAAGGACATACAGGATTAGTCCCATGAACCTCTCCTCTGTTTCACCCTTATCTTCGGCTTTCCATTTTACCACATCTACCCCAGGCTCTTTGTGCACACGCACAGAGTTTCAGAGGAGCTGAAGGTGTACCTGAACGCGTCCTGTGAGGGGTCGCTCTGTGTGCAGCTCAAAGAATACGACACTGTCAGAGATAATCTGAAGGAGTATGTGGCCCAGCCGGGCGTTAAAGTGTGGATTGGCACTGAATACACAAATTACGCACTATATGAGATCATTACACCAGAGGTATGACAATTCTACTGTTCATTAAGTGTGCGGCATAATTTTGCTTCAGTTAGCATGAGAATCTGATATTTTTGCATCTTAAATGTAAATCACTGGGCACATAGAGTATTAAGATCTGTTTTTACGGCTGTTATGTTGCTGCATTGGCTGCAGTGAGTCATGGCTGGGATGGACGTAATCCAAGATTCTACAGCTCAACTAATCAATATTTTTATATAAGCGAGGGATCAAATGAGTTTGTGAAATGTGAAAGTGGTCACTCTGGTGAAGAAACGTCTTCAAACTCAGACTTTTCTCAGCTCTGCACAGTCTGTGTCCATGTTTTTAGAGACTATATATTGAATATATATTTAATCCCCATGCTCCATAGTTAGTTTATAGAGTCAACATCGTCCAGTAACTAATAAGTACCTGTAACTATTTACACCCCATGGTATTAAACTATATGCAGTGTTTAGCAGTAAATGATAAGAAGAAACTGTATATACTGTTTGTTCTTCAGTGTGTGTGTTTTGGAGGGGATTAAAGGAGCACAATGCTTCTCTCTGATTAACTGATATTGTATTTTTTGTGTAAATTGTTGTTCTTTGCATCGTTTAGGAAAAGCTACTGACAAGCTCCTACTCTCCTGTGCTCACAACTAAAGCGGTGAAGGATGAGACAGAGCAGCGGATCTTAAGGGACGCTCATGTACGTTATCTGCACACAGACGTGAACATGCACACATGAGCACATGTGGCAACTTAGAAAGAGCACACCTGTTTTTTTTTTTGCTTTGTTTATGAAGTTAAATTAGCAGGAGACCAGATATGAGCCCAAACCATTTATGTTTGACTCTCACCATTCAGGGTATTCATTCATCAGTCTTCACTGTCAAACTGGTGGGACATTAATGAATGACGTTCAGTGAACACACACTCTGATATAGTTATTACACTGTCCACACTGTTCTGTACAGCATCTCAACATCGAGTGTAAATTGTCATCCTGTAGTTTTAGTGTTGCTGTGATTGATGCAGAGACTCTCCTGGTCAGTGTGTCTTTGTGACTCTGTGCAGGTGAGGGATGCAGTCGCAGTCATCCAGCTGCTGATGTGGCTGGAGAAGGCGGTGCCACAGGGGAAAGAGACCGAGCGGACGGCTGCAGAATACGTCAATAAATGTCGAAGGTGAGTGCACATGCAAGAGGAAGGAATTACAACATTTGCGGAGTCTTTTTTTCTATTTTGTTGACAAGCCAGAATATTAGAGCCTAGAAATGTTATTATGAAGCAAAAAGATAAGGAGGCTTAAGGACTCTGTTAATGACATGTTGATTTAAATACACTATGATTTGGAATAGTTGTGATAACAATTATTTTAAAGTTGATTTTTGAAGTTAATTACAAGATAATTTCAGCAAACAGAAGGACAGCAGAGGCCCGAGCTTTGAGACCATCTCTGCAAGTGGACCCAACGCTGCACTCGCCCATTACAGGTAAGATTGATTCAAATAATCCCCTCTTCTTTTGAAATCAAAACACATCTTAATTACTGTATTTATTTGTCTAAGTACTAAATTTTCTTTTAGGATAATGAGACACCTTTTTTTTTATTATATTTTTAAACTTTGATGCATTTATTTGATAGGACAGTGGACAGAGTAGGACACCAGGGAGGGAGTGGGTAATGACATGACGGAAACAAGCCACAGGTCAGATTTGCACCTGAGCCGCCCGCTTGGAGAATGATAGCCCCTCCTACATTGGCACACCCACTCTTTTTTTCTTTAGTTCTTAAAACTACTGCTATTTTTTTTTTTTAAAAGCATCCCATAAGATTTAAAGCAGCATGCATTTGTTTTTCTTAGCCACTCTGCATTTCCACAATTCCAGAGTGTTCTTCTCTCTCTCTCTCTCTCTGAGATTTTGTCTTTCTCTTAAAAATTTCCTCCAGCAACATCTTTAGTCTCTTAGCTTGTACCGTGTTGTTCCACTTGAGAATAGCATGTTCAACTAGCAAGAAGGAAATTTTACCTTCTGCCAAAACCCTCGTTCTAACTTTCTCCTGTCCACTTAAATCAAAATACATTGTGCAAGAAGAAGCATAACGGGTTAAGAGTTGTAATAAAAGAGGTTAAAATCTTCTTATAACAAGTCACTGTACCACTGTAATGACTTCCAGGCTCTTCTTTTAAAGCTTACTTGTTTCATGATGCTTTTTAAACTGATATTTTTACTTTTGATTAGAGAGTGGAAATCATCGCATTTATGCTCACGAACAAAAAGCAAATGGTGACATGGAAAGCGTTAAAAAAAAAAGGTTAAATGTCTGATGTAGCTTTGCCCTGAGTACCAAGGGATTGATTCGCTCACAAATATAAAATCTAAAACGAGACATGCTGTTGCACTCTGACATTTATATGGTTATGATTAACAACAGAACTCAATTTAAATGATTACATAGCCATTCACGCTTTCACAAGGTAACAGAAGCCACCTGGGGAATAAGAAAGAACTGTCTCCCCCTTCTGGTTGTTAGTGTAGTGACAAAAACACAAGTGCACATTACCTTCATAACATGCATAGTCTTGGAGAGTCCCAGGAATCACCAATATTTATCAGTCAAACATGCAGTCAATGGTTTTATTTACTGTAATCCTCGCTCTGAACAATCTTTACTGGTTTACCTAAAACGTCACTAGTGGGGCAAACGCTAGGAAGCAAGTTCATCATACCCAGAATGTCTTTCAGTTATCTGGTTTCACTGACTACACAGACTTTTTTGATCATAACATGCTCCAGGGCAGGTTAGGTGTTCAGCATAGTTACCATGGTGATCTACGCTGCGAAGAAGTGAACCACCTCTGTCGTCCTGAAAGCCCGGAGTTAATCCTTCTTTGTAGTTTGCCACCCTGGTTGGATAGCACAAGACGGTCAACGCAGACAGCAGATTTGACCCACACAAAAAAAAACCTCAGTCAAATTGTGAAATACAAGGGATCTACTTGATGGTAATAAGCTTATTCAGCATTATGTGAACTGGTTGGACAAGAGCTTGACTTTATAAGATATTTATTCATATATAATAGTAAGCTAGTCCAGATTTGATACATTAGAAAAATGTCCTTGTGATGTTAGGTGCCATCAGAAAGCTGTTTTCTGTGTTTAGTCCTCCACTAGAAGCAAGCCGGAGTTGACAGTTGACGAGATGTATCTGATCGACTCAGGCGGGCAGTATCTGTGAGTCAAAACACACATTTTACTGAGAAACTCTCTGGTTTCACATCACATCAGAGGCATTTGAAATGAGTCAACCTCTCTCTCTCTCTCGCTCTCTCTCTCTCTACAATCAGAGACGGGACCACTGACATCA